ACAACTGCAAGCCTAAATATAGCCATTAACTTTAATAGAGAACTCTGGATCACTTCATTTAATATTGCAAAGGCATTCAATTCAGTTAACCTTGACAGCCTCAAAGCAGCGCTCCAAAGAATAGAGATCTCTAACAAACTGATATCTATATTTTATAACCTTTTATATGACTGGAAACTCTTCATTGCAACCAACTTTGGAAAAACAGACAATTTCAAGGTGTCAAAAGGATTAGATCAAGGTGAAACCCTCTCTTCATTACTATGGACAATTTTCTATAACCCATTAGTAGCCACTATACTAAGTTGCCATAATCATCCACAAATACCATATAATATTCTTGTATATATGGATGATGTGCTTCTTATGGCAAATTCAATACCAAAACTTCAAGAGTTTACTGACACCTTCTGCTTATTTCTCTGTCTTAACAATATCAGATGCAACATAGACAAGACTACACTTATTACAACACTTGGTAACAATAACCCCAGTAGAAATGTCTCTTTTAAAGTTCTTAATGCCACAATTGCTCCCTTCCTACACAAGTCAATAATGTATTATCTTGACAATCACTTTGCAAGCAATACTACAAGTAATTCATCTAATCATATTCTAGTTAAAGAGTTAAACCAGATGATTATAGCCTGTAGCAAGCAGAGCTAGAATGGACCAATAACCAAGCAAATAATAGACTGGACTATATCAAGCAAACTTGACTACATTTTGCACTTAGTTTCACTGTTCAAGAACAAACTTATGAAAATACAAGTAAGAGTTAACAATACAGTTAAGTTGAAATTCAGAATGGGAAAGACCATCTTAGACAGAATTATATACTCGCAAGCTGGCCTCAAGTTTCTCAATCTGGCTAATAAGCAGGAGCTCACCATGTCAAAGTTACTTATTACTAAGCTGTGCAATCCAAAAACTAAAGCTGTCACCGAAATGGAAATAGAGTCAATATAAGCAAGCCACGCAATATAAACATGCCCAATATGCTGTCCAAATAAATTCCAAGAGATCTGGATTACCAGAGCTGCCTCTATATACAAAAAATACAAAATCGCAGTCTACCCACCTAAGTGCAAATTCAATTACCCAGAAGGGAATCAATCTATTGGGTTGGTATTTCTCTTCAAAGGCAAAGCCTTGGCTCAACAGGCACTTGGCCTCTATTGCAAGAACATTAAATTCCTTAGCAATTTACTAGTTTACTTGTCAAATCGTAAACTCACTTGGCATTAATTCAATATATACTTAGGCCCTATATCCAAAGATCCTATTCCAACATGATTCTTCCATATTGGTATTCCAAGTCATATCCAGGAATTCTCTATCTGTATATCAAACATCAAAGCAAGATTTTGAGCAACCATACTTAATAACCAGATCACTTATATTAAAGCTAGGCACAACCAAAACAAGAATTACCCAAACGTCGAAGGGCTACACTATCTTGTAGATACAAACAAAACCTTTATTAAATGTTAAGGTCATAGCAGCACACAAAAAATTTCAGCTTCAATACAAGAAGCCATAATTTTATGGACTTATCACAAGAACAACCAGCACTGTTTAATTAATGCTCCAGAAGAAATCCTAATCCAACTTCATTTCAAAAATCTACCAAATCTCACACCTATTATAGCGATCAATAGTACAGATCCAACAAGCATCTTGCCTTATATTAATAATGAAATGCTTAATAACATCAAACAAATTTTCAAGACAGATCATTTTTTTGTCACTGTAGACCTAAGTTCTAAAGATGAGTATATAATTGCAAGAGCAAACAACATAACAGTTACCTTCTACTCTGAGTATAACAAATGCATCAGTACCCTGTTAGTTATGATTGAAATTCTAGCAGCAGCAAAAAGCAGCATATACAGTATATATCATTCAATATAACAAATACTCCAAGCTTATCTTTGCCAAACTATATTAATTGAAAAGTCAAAACCACCTATAACTACCTAGTAGACTGTATCAAAACTCTTCTGAGATCAAAAGATATCAAGCTGCAGCTAAACAAATTAGAAAGAGATCTTAATTTGCAGAAAAATGACTTAGTAATATGCATAGACAATTTGATAGAAACCAATAAGTATATCACGGGACCACAAATCAAAAACATGTGGAAATATAATATAGTAACATGGATCAAAAGAGTACAGCAGATCTACAGGCTTACTGACATCATCAACAGCTCATCAGTCAAAAAAAGATGGGACACAGCACTACAAATAGAAACTATACAAAGCCTTGTCCTTACAAATAATTTGCTAATTAAGAAAGACAAGTACAACTTATCTTCATTATTAACATTCAAAAGCAAAATCCTAAGCAGCACTCTTTTAACAAGAAAACTCCTGTATGAAAGATACTCAGACATATACCAAGACGACCTCTACCCAAGATGTTTAATTTCATCAAAAACTCAAAAACATATTTTCACATGCTACAAGAATAGTGAAACATATGAAAGAATTGAGTTCAAAATGAAATCTAAGATCAGTAAGTTGCTTAAAAAAACCAACAAGGCAAAAACCATCCTTGACTTCAATAGAAAATCACAACCAGAAAAAATAGCATGTGGCTTCATAGATCTTAAGAACCAGTTGTCAAAGAAGAAATTTGCTAAAGTAATAAATAGTATCTTAAAACTTCTTTATACACTAATATGGATTCTCAGATCAGATACCGCAAACACATCAATAGCTTCAGGAATTAGATGGTCCAAACTATACATGTGGTGTAAATTATTTTGCTATTGACTCAATTCTCAAATTCTTAAAAATAATTGTGTCATGACTCAATTATTTGTATGTTTAATAGTGATTCAATTAATTGCGTCAAATAATTGTGTCAATTGCATCAAGGATCTACAAATTTCAGCAACATGTATAGTCCAAACTACAAAGTAATCTATAAAATAAAAAAGCCAAGGACATGCCGACTTCCACCCATAGACAAAATTTGCTCCATCTCATTGTCTCTTCAACTGATACACAAAACATCAGTTCAAGCAATATTCTCAAGTCACATAATTTAATCGCAGTTCTGGAAGGGATTATCCAGCACTAGAGCCAATTTGAGTTACATCAAATGTAACAAAGATAGCAATAGTTAGCATTGTAGATAGGTTAACATTAACTTGCACACATTTCTATACAAAGATATTTGATGTAATTTGTGTATCAATTTATATACTTAATAAATTTTGCATCTAATGCCCTTTTACAATAAAAAAAAAAATAGAAAAAATAGATGAAACAATTATTATTGGATTTTACAAAATTTCTATTAATATATTTCAAGATTGTGAAGAGCTTTTAGATCGAATTAAAAATATATTATATAAAAGTTTACTTCATCATTATTCTATTCCTTCAGAAATTAATCTTATGTAGCATTATTAGATTCTCATTGCAAATCTCTTAATTTTATTTCTGATTCAAAAAAGAAGGAACTGTTGATATATTAAAAAATTTAATTACAAATTAATACTTAGATTTTAATAACAATTCCTAACAATTATTTAAAAAAGAAAATTTACTTATTATGCAAATTTTTCAATCACATTATTTATAAATTAATGAAATAACTGATTATCTTGTTTAACCAGAAATTTTCCCAACTTCTGATTCTTTTCTTTGGTGAGTTAATAATCAAAAAAGATTTCCAAATATTTCAAAACTTATCCTTAAATATCTTTCAATATCTGCCACATCAGCACCTAGTGAATGGTTATTTTCAGATGCAGGAAATATAATAACAATAAGACATACTAATCTTAAACCACATGTATTTGAGCAAATTCTTTTTAAAAAAATAAATAATAGCTTAGTTAGTAATATTTTTTCAGAATTGTAATCTAATAATTAAATAAATATATTTTTATATGTCCCAAATAATGAATTAATCGAATAGATGAATCCAATCCCTAACCCAAACCTGATGATCTTCAGGTTGATGATTGACCCGAAAATTATCAAATGGGTCAAACCCGAACCCGACCCATTCGGAACACTACTTATCACCCTCTTGTTTAATAATCTCTTGAAGCTTGTTGCCAAATACTGTACATCCTCAGACTGGCTTGAATTAAGGCATTTAAGAGCCTGATCTCTTTATAGTTCGTTTCCATAGGATAATGTATCAGGGGTGAATGATCTTGCAGACAAAAGTGCCTCTTAAAGATATTTCCATGTTTCGCTATCCTCAGATGGTCTTGTCTCATAAATTGATTTAAGTGCAAGATCAATCAGACATATTGAAGCTGATGCCCTGTAAGATAGGTTAGAAAGTAGTTGATCTGTTTATTTCGCATGTTTGGGCATGAGTCTGGTAAGTTCTTTCTCCATGGGTGGTGCATTGAATTTAATGTTTTTATTACGTGGATATGCTTCAAGCAAGGCTTTCCTATCCTGTTCGTCCAATAGTATAAATTAGTCGTAAGTCTTTCCATTCCTCCCGAAGGGCCCAACAGTAACTTCTATTGTCGTCTGAAGAATTATCGACTTCATCTTGTTGGTTGCTAATGTTAAATATGACATTATTTTGTTCGTTGCTCATCATGCGAGAGATGTTTTCTCAAGTGTGGACTGCTAACCAGAAAAAACTGAGGATGGTTAGATTACTAGATTTATACGTTCGTTTCGAACACAAATTAATACGTAAGATGTAAACAGATATGATGAATGGTACACACTACTGTATACAGTATCGGTGTATAAACTATCCTATTAGGGTATATTAAGATCTTTTTTCCTCATTGCATTTAGAGCTTTATCATCTGCAAACTGAACTAATAAACGGCCTGAAGCACATGATATTCTTTGCAATCTTAAGCGATATGCATTTATAAAAAACCAAAATTTTGAACGCTAAACTATTCGAAATAAGTTCGTTTGTAGAAAATACAGATTTCACATTTTTACATTATAAAACATTAATTTTAACTGTAATTAAGAGAGCGTAAAACAAAACTTTTTTCATATTACTTGCTCATAAAACAATAGATAAGCTTCACTTCTTAAAACTTCATCTACTTTAGCCATCCGCACATTACTATCACTACAATAAATCCACTGTTTATGTTCGCCTACCATGTCCGACTTCGAATGAATTTTCTCAACTTCTTCATAATCATCAGGATTCAATTCCGGCACCCCAAATTGTTCTCCCGTTTCAAGAATGTTTTTAGAAAGCACATACGCAATGTAGTGTCCATTATATAGACTTCCTATGTGTACCACAACACCGTATAATCGATATTTTGTATTAAGAACCTTTTTTCTTGATGATTTGGATCCATCGATATCATCTGCTCCCGGTGGTACAATGAAATTACCAACATCTATTTCTTCATCAAATTCCACAAAATCATCTATCTTTTTCATCCATTTTCCTGTCTGTTGAAAACGCTTTAAATGAAGGACCAAGACAGGCGGCAATGAACTAAACAAATAGCGTTTGTACGCCTCACGGAGAATGAACTGTTGAGCCTTTGTTGACTTATTTTTTTCTGACTCAGAATCATGTAATGGTAAGTTTCGTGATAACGAAGATTGAACCGGTAGATCGACCTCCATACCACGCGAATCAATCTCACCATCTTTTCCATTAATTGGTGTAAAATCCGATAGATCATTCGAACAATTGTTTGGATTTTCATCAGATCGGGTATCCGTACTTGTTACGTGAGCTCCTTCTTCCGAAATAGAATTGTTTGAAATTCCGTCAGATTGCACATCCGTACCCGATATACGAGTTTCTTCTGAATCTTCGGAAATAGATTTTTGGGGATTTTCGTCAAATTGCGCATCCGCACCTGATACACAAGTTTTCTCTGAATAATCTCTCGAAATAGGCTCGTTTGAATTTTCGTCAGGCGCATTCGTACTTGTTATATGAGGTCCTTGTGAAAAATTAATTGATATAAATTCCGATGATTCTTCTGATTTAGAATTATTTTGATCTTCATAAGAATCAGTATCCGTTAAAAAAGGTTCTGGAACATTCACTGAGTTATGTTCCGATGAGTCTTCTGAAATAAATTTACCGAAAGTCTCATAAATTTGAGTATCCGTCATCGAAGTATCTCCTGAAACGTCCATCGGTTCTGACACACCATTTTCGGGCTGAGTATTCGTCATATGACTCACTTCTGAAGTACTTATTGGCGTAGATGGTGATTGTTTCAGTGATTCTATATTTGTCAATTCTTCTCCAATTGCCTTGTCGACTCGGACGTCCGGTTTAATCGAGTCATCTTCCTCCGCGTCGCTTTTCACATCGGTTACATCAGAACCTTCGTGATTTAAATTTTTCCAGCAATTTCCACACGCAAAAAGATTATCTCCGTCTAAGGTCTCTACTCGCATGAAACTTCTCAGGCAGTCGATAAGGGATATACACGAATTTTGCGTGGAACGATCAGAACTATCAGGAATTTCTTTTAAAAGCGGTGAATACTCTTCGGGTTTCGCTTCTTTATTCGAATTATTAGATTTGTCATCGCCGTTTTGGCTGGAGTCCTCTAAGCTATTATAGAAACTTTGTGTGGAGTTGTTTGATCCAGTGAAAAAGGTTTTCACTTTCTGCACATTGAACGATAATATTATTATTAATTCATAGGCGACTCGATTAATAAACAAAATATGAGCCCAACCTTTAATATTCTTTCATGATTATTAAACTTTATCGGCAAGGAAACATCCAAGAATTCTTCATAAGAGTAAGAACACTGCGGGAAACGCATTTAATAAGTATAAACAACAAGAAAGAGACCTTTAATAAAATTCGCACTAACCATTCTACATGTTTTACAAACAATTACGCTGGCTAGTTTACCTCCAAAGCATGCATCGATAAAAGACACGAATTCTTGTGGTGGTGATTTTTCTTTTGAGGTGTTGTTCTCATCATCTGTCCCTTGATCAGACACTAAAAATTCTTTTTTGAAAATAAATAATAAAACTTGAATTATTGTCGAGTAAATAAAATATTGTTAAGGAAATATGAAATTCAATTATGAGTTCATACGTTGGTCTTCATTCTTCTTTTTCGAAACCCTTTTTATTAACTGCAACGAAAAAGTGCAGAGATTAGTATATTTCTTCTAATACAGCATATGGTTATGATAATTTGAAAATCTGATCATATGAACGGGGTAATAACTAATTTACATCTGAATTTATTACGGTAATTTAAACAAATGAATGAATTCTTAAATATAATTGTCATGCATTCTAATGAACTATTTTGACAGGATACTTTTACCTCAAGCTCTTCACTCTTAATACCGTCAAATAAAAATCGCATGAGTTCTTGGCTATCTTGTTGTCTCCAGCCGCGGAATTGTGACCACTTTCTGGTAATCTGATCGAACAAGTCTCTAGGACTCACTACCTCTCTTTCACCTTCCCACATCACGGATAAGAATTCTTTGAAAGTATTGGTTAATGGACCAACGTCATCACGAACAGCAGCGAGACACTGCTCCGCATTTATTAATGGCGGAATAAGACCGAATTGGCCAGGGCAATTAGGCTGAAGAACATCACGAAGTGCAGAGGTTACAGTAACAACCTAAAAATTAATAAACGTAAGCAAAATTGAAAATTAAACTTGGTATAAAATCTCTTTCTCACCTGCATAACCGAATTAAAAAAGCATGTATTACCGAGATTCGATAAACCAGGTGTCGAAATTTTATTACGAGTATGGTTGATCTGATTGAAATTATTTCGCGGTCTTGAATGAGTTTCTTCGATAGAATTAGAATCAATGTCTGATATATCAGATTCTCCTATATTTTTAATTGTTTCCTTCAATTGAATTGACTCCATATAATTAGAGTCAATAATTGACTCTTCTATGTGAACTGTTGGTTCGATGTGTTGAACTGTTTCCTCCAATTGAGTTGATTTTATAAAATCAGAGTAAATATCTGATTTATCAGATTCTTCTATGTGAACCGTTTCCTTCAATTGGATTTCTTTTGTAGTAGAACTAGATACAATATCAAATTTATCTGAATCGGTATGAGCTGTTTTTTTCAATTGAGTTTTTTTTATGTGCTGACCTATTTTCTTCAAATGAATTGATTTTATAGTAATATTAAAGTCAACATTAAATTTAAGATATTCTGGGACACGAATAATGCACCACTTAAACTCGCATTTTATGCCATAAGATTCATTATCACTTTTTTCCTCTTCACCACCTCCCTCATTTTTATCTTCCTCCAAATCATAATAACCTTTAATGTTTTCTTTTCTTTCGTAATAATCCGGGTCACGAACATTAACCGTAATTTTGTTATCTGCATAATTACTAATGCTGGTTATAAAATTTGGATCAATGTTTGACAGGGGATATGCAAATGAAGTAATAAGAATCGAACCGCTTGGTAAAATATCTGGAATGTCCTCTAATTGAATATCCCAATTACCCACGTCAGGATTTCGTATGAAAGAAGAACTATTAAAGCGCAATACGGAGATATCTCGCGTTTCTCGGCTATAAAAACCTATTTGAGCAGGGCTTCCAATTAATAACCAAGTTATTTGCAGATTATTTAATTCTTTCTCTCTAAATAATGATATTCGTAATTAAAGACTAATATTAACCATTTCTCAAAAGGATAATAACATATACGTACTCAAATTTTTCAATTCTTGCTGAAAATCCACGTGTGTCCATTGATCTAAATTTAACCACCACATTATCAATTGACTCTCCATTTTGTGTCATAAGTTTTCCAAATATTTTATACTTGTTGGATTTGAGTTTCCTGGGAAAATTTACACGATAGTAATATCCCTGTTCCTTTATTTTGTCGGATTTAGACTGTTTGGGAAAATTTACGCGATCATATTCCTGATCTATTGAGATTATTCCTACCATGAGAACCTTTTCCTTAGCTTCCGAGTTCCCTACTTGATCATCTATTCCAAGAACGGATTTAACTACTTGACGAAGAGGTTTTTCGAGTATTTCATATAATGGGTATAAGTCATTCCAATTGATGATATCTAATGAGCTTGTATCGCTTGTTAAACAGGAGTTCATCCATTCTTCAAGTTTCTCTTCCAAAATTATCTCACCGTTAATTGATACTAAATAAGGAGAGTCAAAGTAGCATGGTCTAATGAACTCCTTCCATCTATCCAAAATATCGTTCTTGTTTGCCGCAAAATCTTCACAATTTATACATTCGGCTGGTTTATTCCTACTCACTGAAATCATTTTGTATACTTTATGTCCCAGGATAATCTTACTGGGTAAAAAATGTCCGAAAATTCTGAATACTCGTAGTAGTTCGTGATAAGGGTCAGTGTGTTCCAGAGCCTTGGTTATATTGGTTATCAATATTTCAAATGGCATAATTAATTCTTTATCAACGATTATTTCGACACGTGGACATTGTATTTCTAGATAAATGTCGTTTGTGTGATCCAAAGGATTTTTTACAATATAATCGTCGAGCACCCATTTTAAATTATCGGCAGATGTACAAATATGATTTTCTAATAAAAAGGTGTCCCCTCGTTTTGTCGAATTCACTAATTTCGCTTGAAATGTTTTGGGCAAGTTGTCAGAGATAGTGATGTTTGAAATCTTGCATGCTAAAGAATCCACGAAGTGAACTCCTTGTGTATTGTTAAATTTCGAATTATCACCATTAAAATATTCGAAAATTTTAATTTGATGGATATTAACCTTGACAACTTGACTAGACAAAGTATTGTCAAAATCTTCCGTTTGTTTAACATATATTAAATATTCTTCGTTTTTTATTTCAGCTATTTGCAATAAACACGTGTTATCTTCTTCACTTCGTGATAGCGCTCTGCCATATTTCGACAGAAAGTAACAATTTGTTCCCATATGAAGATCACTAGGATTGTTTCCTTTAAGCTTGGCTCGAACCAACGTAAGTTTTTCATTGAGTAGTAATTTAAAATGCTTCTCAATAGTGGAACCTCCCGAGTCTTCTTTAATAACAGTGACTTTTAAAATAGGGTAATTTTCATTGAGTACTAATTTATAAGGCTTCTCAGTAGTGTAACAGTCTGAGTATTCTTTCTGAGTGGCAAATTTGATTCGACTCGCGCATTTAATTATCCATTCCCTTAGATAATTAGGTGCCGATTTAAATTCATTAATAACAGGAACTTTTAAAACATAGCTAAAACCAAGAAAAAAGATTACGAAAAAAATAAAGAACAAAATATAATATAATATAAATGCGTATAATTCATACATAGTAAGGATATGTAGAAAGATTACGAAAAAAATATAATATAATATAACTGTGTATGATTTATACATACAGTAGTAAGAATATGTAGAAAGAATCAGAAAATCAAAAAAAAAAAAAACGAAGATAACCTTTGTGAAATGTTGCGTTGCACAGATATTCAAGCTGTTACCTTTTCTGGAACACGACTACAGTATAGTAAAACGTACAGTATGCAGTACAGAATAAACAAAATAAGTAAGGAACGGATTATTTTAATATAACCTTTTTTTTTTTCAAGGAAAAAAATCATTGAAGTCATTTGGCTATAGAATTTTATCTATTATAACACACAATGGATATACTCTTATTACATGTTTGTATTTTATTGACTGCCTCCACCATTATTTATTTACTTAAAAAGCACTATATCTATTATCACTACTCCCTACTTAAGTCCTTTGATGTAACGGTTATTAAAAAAACCCCTGAAGGAAATATTATTGAAAGGCATTATTTAAGGTCACTGGAAAACGAAAATCTTAATATTGTTCGGGCCAAACTTGAGGGAAGGAAAAATACAGGACCCAGCGACCTTCAAATGGGATCAAACTGTTATTTTTTGAGAAAGGATGCCCAAATTTCACAAAACGATGAACATAACATATATATATCAGAAATAATAGAAGAAAACAAAGACGGATTTTTATTAAATATCAAGCAAACGACAGACTTTGATTATACACAGTTAAAAAATGAAAAGGGCTTTGCATTCAAGAATGATGGTTCTATCATAAGTGCTACTGAAAAAGGCATCAAAATTGATATAGGTCAAATTAATCCCCCAAACTCATTGAGCGATAGTAAAACACGAACATATATATGCAAAGATACATGCGATAGGTCATGTAAACGGAGTTTTATATGCGACGCAAACATTTCAACTGTTATAGAATGGTTTTCCGTTTCTCTCGGTCTTTCTCGTAATGCTTCCTCAGAAAGTCTTGAAAGTCACACGTCATCATCTTCACATTTTCATGAGATGTATTTAAAGGCAGAACTCAATATCTCAAAATCTTGTGTTGAATTAACTGAGGACTTCATCAAAGATGTCAAAGATGCATTGAAAGGAACGACTCGTGATAAAAAAATAGACAATCTTCATAAAGTATCAACAAAATATGGTCACTTTTATTCAACACAACTTATTCTGGGAGGGGTTATTAGTAGGAAAAATGTATACACTGAAAGTTCAAGTAAGTAACGCTTATTCGTAAATTAACTTGAAAGTTGGGTTTTTACAATCTCTCTTCTTGACATAGAAAAAAATTCTGAATCGTCGAACATCAACGGCAATGTTAGCATAGGACTTTCTCTCGCAAATACTAGCTTAAGTATTGATAGAAGAAACGAACATGCGACAAACTCTTCTAATAGTGATACAAATGAAAGTACTCGAGTTATTGGTGGAATAGAGAGTATGTACCACAGTGAAGGTTTGATCCCGTGGAAAAAATCTCTAGATAAAGCAATGAACTGGAAAATAATTGAATATCGCGAGATCTATCTATTATTCGAACTATTAAAAGGGGACTTAAAGGAAAAAGTTTTGGAAGTTTTTGGCCCCCAAATTCTACAAGGTAATTTTTTTATAAATCGTTTAATATTCTTTTACCTCAATTGAATTAATGCTCTAATTAATACAGCAAAATTTGAACCAATCAAATTTACCCCAAGTGCACACTCTAAACCATATGTTTATGATTTGTCTCCACATCTTAAAGAAATTAAAAACATGGACAAATGTCAAATTTTTGCGTCAATAATGAGCAAAGATGAAAAAAATGTGTTCTCTTCGTATATAGATTATGAAAATAAAGATTTTATGACACCAGTCATAGTGATCCATCACCTTCATAAGTGTACAGCTAGTATTATCAAGCTACGAAAAAAAAAGGAATTCGATCTTAAACTTGGTTGGATAATTGTTGGACCAACGGCAAGCTTCGATTTTGACATGCTCTTGAACCCGTTAATACTGAGAAGTAGAAAGTATACAGCATCTGGAACAAATAGGATAAGAATAACAGATTGCGAGGATCTAGATCTTCAAAGAACTTGTATGCTAGGGATTTGTGAATTCGAAGCGGAAACTAACACGGCTCGTGCAGAATTAAATCCAGAAAATAATTTTGCTTCTACACATCCTATTATATATAACCCAGAAGAATCAACAACGGTCATTGGTTCTCACTTTGTTGAACCCATGTCAGCGTTTTTATTTGATTGCGATCTTGGAAGAAATTCTAGAACTAATGAATTTTTACAAGGAATTTCGTTAAACTTTTGGTAAGTAAACAATTTATTTTCCGTGCTTAAATAAATATTTTTTAATTTAATATAGTTTAATTTTTTGTACAATAGTGCCGTTGATACAACTAGTTCTCGAGCAAAAATAACTGGTCAAATAGATGTCAACTGGAATAAAGCTAATTCAAGCCTATTTCATAATAAGCATACTTTACCTATCAATGAAGCCGAAAAGTATCCAACATTAATAAGTCAGTTATTTAGCAATTGTAATGATAACTGTAAACATTATGGGTTCGTTAATTTTAAATTGGACAAAATTACTTACGGGTCATTGAATTTGGGAAAACCGTCATGTGAAGAGAGAATTACATATTTATTAACTCGGAATCCTCTTAAGATTAAGCAATACCCTTTGATGGAACCGAATTGATGTTTTAAAGTTAGTCCAATATCACAAGGATTTAAGAAAATGTCAGACTTACGGGGACATTTGAAAATATATAAGCGAGAAATTGCAATGCAATAACAATTTCCCACTCCAAACAGGCATTATAATAATTATTCGATCATTTATTAAAAATTTAGAAGTTAGATTCTGATTTACTATCAAAAATAAAGACATATGTATCAAAACAAGAGATAGTATCATATATATAGATCTAGTAGTTAGACACGTGTAATGATTACGTACATTATATGTATTTTTTTATCTCGAACAAAATACATTTTCTACTTATACTTGTAATACACATTCATCTGCCTTCATTATTTAGATTGGTTTAAAATTGTTTTTCTATCACTTGTTCTTTCTATTATATTACAAACTTTTCAATTATTCATGTTTTCTGTATTTTTGCTATTTCAAAAGTATTTAATGGTTGAATAATGCTAAAGTGAGAATTATTAAACATTTTAAATTTACATAAAATTTTAAACTATGAAATGTGTCAAATTAAAGAAGACATTCATTCAGAAATTTATGATTAGCCTATATTTGATAAAGTTTCAAATATTATTCATTAATAGAATTTACATAAAAATGTGCAAGTAATACTTGTTTCAATAAAAAAAAAAAACTATTAAAACCAGTAATCACACAAATAAATTTTGTTATATATATTCAATTTCTCCAACAATGTCAATACTTTATATTTGGACCGAGTCTTCGTGTTGTCTAATATTACACTTCAGAAATAACTTTTCATGACATATTTCATCGAATTAAACGTTCACAATTTTTTTAAACGACTAACTATTGTGATCTTTCAAATAAAAACAAACCAAGAGAATACCTGAAAATCACATGAATTATTGAATCAATAAAATAATAACAAATCTCTTGGATTTTTTAAGCTGATATCTTGTAATATTTTGTTACAAAAAAAGTTTATATAGTCAACTAATTAATATTATAAAATATTGATTAAATAAATTATATTAGTTAAGAACTTATTTTCTTAAACAAATACAACTAAATGGAAAAGGCGGATTAATATCATTCTACGGTGTATTATTTGTTAAGTGATAAGTTTATTAAATTGTTTGACACAATATAATTTATTTTTTAATAATAAATTTCTGTTGACAAATATAAATAATTTTTTTATAAATAGAGCAAATTAAAATTTTTAATTTTATAATTCAAGTTATAAACTATTTAGGCAAAGATTTTTCTTGTTGTATAACAATTTTTATTGACTTTTTCAAATTTTTTTATTTTGTAAATTATCACAAAAAAATTAAATATTATTTTATTCTATATTTTCCAATAAATTTTTGAATGTATAGTGTGTAACAAAATAATTGTTCTTGTACTTTTTATTAAAATTTAATATGTAATTATTTAATTTAAATAAAATCCAAATGTATTGTTTTTAGTATTTAATAAGTATTTTATTATAAAATAATAATTTAAAATTAAAAAATTAAAAAAAAAATTTTTTTATTTTGAAGAACGAATTACCAAATATACATAAGTTTATTGAGTAATTTATACTCAATTACCTGTACATCAAGATTTATTTCAGTTAATCCATATTAAATTCTACAAATATGCCTTTTGTATAAAATTATTATCAAACATATAGATCCTTATACTAGATGGAATCTTTAAAAAATGAAAATCTTATACTAGTTTTAAATTATTATTTTTTTGTTATTACAAACAAGCATTAAATATACAACCTTTATTAAACAAATTGTTTATCAGTAAATATATTAAGAATTCTATATTACATATTTATAGAAATTAAGTCTAGCCTATTGTATATAAAATCTTTAATTCACAAGAATATATAATAGGTAATAACAAACTATTGATAGTTTATGAATAACTAATGCCTATTTATAAACAACTAAGTTGAAATAAGTAATAATATTTTTTTAATAAAAGATTTTTAAAAAATTAAATCAAATAGAATCTATAATTAAAAGTGTTATAGTAATTCATTTTCAAAATTATATTTCAATTCAAATATTGACAACTTATTTAAAAAGACAAAATTTTAAAACAAGATTATTTTTTAAAAATTTTTTTATTTTAACAATTTTTAACAATTAGTATTTTTATTATAAATAAGAATAATAAATATTTTTAATAAATTATTAAGATCTTTAAAAAGAAGAAATATTAATTTTCTTATTATAAATTGTTAGTTTATAATTTTTTATAAATTATAATTAAAATAGAAAACAATATGTTATTAGATTTTTGAAGTTTTTTATTTATCTATTATTAAAAAACTATTGCATAAATATTAATAAAAAATATATTAAAATATATTTTAAAACCTAAAAATTGCAATAATATAAATTTATATAAAAATATTTTGGACATTAAATTTAGAAATTTTAATATAATAAATTAAAAATTTATTAATTTAATCTATAGGTTTTTTATATTTTTTAAAAAAATTTTGTATAATTTTAATTTGTAAATTTTTTAAATTTAAATAAAATAAATCTAAAAATTAATCAATAATAACAATAATTTTATATCTTTTTTGTAAAATTTCTTTTATTTTTTAATTTATTATTAATTAAAATTTTAAAAATTTTAAAAAAATTTTAAAAAGTTTTGCATATACTATATATATATTATTTGTATATATTATTTTAAAAAATATTATAATAATAATAAAATATTTATAAATATTTTTTTTATTTTGATTTTTAAATTATAATTAATTAAGAATTTAAATTGATTAATTTAATATACAATATATTAAAAAATTTAAAAAATATATATAATTTTTATATATTTTATATTATATAATAATAAATGTAATAAATGTAATAATATTCTTAATTATAATATTAAATAAAATATTAAAATAATTATTTTATTTAAGTAATTTATTCTTTTTTTTTATTGATTTATTTATATTTAAAATAAAAAAAAATATTTTAATTTATTAATAATTTTTTAATTACACATTAATTATTTATAAAAACTATTTAAACAATAATTTTATATTAATATGTATAACCCTATTATAAAAAACTAATTAAATAAGTAATAAGTTTTATTAAAAGTATATTTTAAATATTTTTAATTAATAATAAAATTATAAAAATCAAATAATTTATTTAATTGTAAATATGTAATAATAAAGAATTTATTTAAAAAATTTTTTATTTTGAAATTACAAATTTATATTAAAATACATAATAGTTTTAAATATTAATTGACAATAATTTTAAAATTAAAATATAAAATATTTTAATATTTTATTTTTTAAAGAAAGAATAATTTTTTATTTTCTATAATTATCTTTAAAATATTAGCAGAATTTAAGAATTTAAATAATTGATATTATATAATAATAGTTTAATAATTTATTTTTTTAAAAAAATAAAATAATTATAAATAATTAAATTATATAAGTAATATAATAATTTTAATATTATAAATTTAAACATTATATATAAATTTATAAATTTATTACTATATTTATTATAATTAGTAAAATATTTATCAATATTTTAATATTGTTATTTATTATTGATTTATTTAATTTAAAGATTAATAACTATTTTCAAATTGTAATTTAATTAAAACTAGAAAATTAATTAATAATTAATTAATAAGATTATAATTTGAAATGTATAGTATTTTATAAAATATTTATTTATTTATTTATTATTGATTAATTATTAAAAAAATCATTTATTTTTTTTTTTTTGCATTATATATGTTATAGTTCAAAATATAATAATTTACAAATAATTTTAAAAATCAAATTTGTTTAATCAGTTTAAATAATTGATAAATAATTAATAGTTACAGTAATTAAAATTTAATATTTATTAAACTTATTCAAAATTACATTAATAATAATAGTGCAACAATGTTTCAATAGTTTTTAAATATATATATTAGATTAATATTTATATATGTTTTTTTGAAATATAACATGATTAATATGATGCTAGAATTGTTTTAATTGATAAATATAATTTTGTGTTTATACTTGTTTAAGATAAAAAATATAATATGAATTTATGATTTAAAAGTTTTTTATATGCATTACAAAAAAAAAATAAGTAGTTATAGTATGCAGTATGTTTTTATTATACATTTTTATATTAAAAATTTAAATAGTATTTTTAGATTACATTATTTTTTAAAGATTATTATTTTTGGTTATTTTTCTTTCACCATCACGCTTGATTTTATGATACTTAAAATATTTCTTTTTTTTTAATTATAGGATAATACGGTAGCTAATATTTCATATACTTTTATCGAATTTACTTAATGGTTATTTTTCTTTTATATTGTGTCAGGAAGATTGGGTATAATGTAAGGGATGAATATTCTGAATCTTTTGAGTATTTATCATATGTTCTATACATTCGAAAATAAAAATAAATGCTGCATATAATTTATGAGAAAATGGAATAGATTTAAATACTCACAATAAAAAAAAATTCCAATAAACTTCTTCACTCATTTAAATCTACTGTATCACGATTTGATTGACCAGCAACAGTACTGTGAATTGAATTAACATATGAGCTAATGTAGCAATACTATACTAAAGTTCTTCCGTCGACTCGAGTTGTGTGATCACTATTTTTATTAACCCTTATTAAAATAATCACAAGGAAAAACCGTCTTTGATGATCGATCTTAATCATTGATTTGATTTCGATGAAATGAATTTCCTTCCAGTGTTTCCTGATTTTATGGAGCAAAATATAGAAAACAAAAAGTAAATTTTTAAGAATTTCTTGATCTGGAAAAGACGGGAGCCTTCCATATCCGAGGGAAGATATCAAATTAATGTTTATCTCAAGGACGAAAATAATATTGCAAAAGGTATTTAAACACTCTGTGAGCTCTTCATTTTCCAACACCAACAAATAACAGCAGAAATAAAAAAGAAAACAATTTTCTATTAATCAAGATGCACAAAAAAAGCCTTTTAATTGTATTTATAATTTTCGTCTTGGTCAAATGCTCTTTCGTCCAATCACGTATCGCAGATGGTTACGTGGCGAATGGAGAGCAAGGGCTCGTGAAAAGACCACCACCACCACCACCAGGACAGTACAAACCACCACCGCCGCCATATTATCCTTGTCCTGATGGTCATAAACATTACGTCAGGGACGTTTACCCTCACGTTACCGAAACTGAATGTGCCACAAGGAATCCTCATATCACTGAAGGTGAATGTGCCACGAGCGAACCTGAAAAAATCAAAGTCAAGGAACCATATAACACTCACATTCCACCCCATGAGCACAAAGAAACAATTTTTTAACACATAATTTTGAAAGGTTAGGAGTGATGTGTAAATAAGATTGTAGATATGCGTTATGTAAACCTAAAATATTCTTTCTTCGTTTTGTAATCTTCCTTTTTTTTTTTACCTTTATACATAGCATGTTTCTGTTCTCTGACGCATGCAATTTGCGATATCATGTTCAATGTAATTAATAAATAAAGTCTTTATATGGTTGTTACGGTATTGTATGCTGTATTTACTTATCTTAAAATGTACACTTGACTAAAAAGTTACATAAATTTTACATAGAATAACGTGAAATCGCAAGAGCGAGCAAAAAATATTTTAAACAATAAAAAAAAAGTTCATAGAGGAAAGGAGTCATAATTTAAGACATTTCACATATTTACATTACAATTATTCTATTCATATTCCGCTATACTGCTCAGCTAGTTTCGTTAATATCTACACTCATTTTCACCTCCGCTCTTCCTTTGTCATTTTCACCATGCCGATCTTTGATAAGCTTTAATCCCTTCGATAGCAAAAATATAGCAATAAGTGGACAAAAAGCAATAGTAAATAATTTCATAAATGTGATAAAAAGTAAGATTGAAGGTAAGGTTTTTGTTATTTCTTTGAAAAGGTAGAATCTTTGAAGAGAAAATTGTACACGACTGGATGGCAAAAGTTGCGGACTAATGAACGAAGAACGCCAAGACCAAGGAAAGAACACGCCTCTTGCATTTTCATCATCTCGTTTTTCGTTGATAATTTTAGAGTGCTGATGTTCAGTATTTGCTGATTTTGAAGAGGCTTCGTTTATAGTTTCATATTGGGATAAACGGTGTTGTAATAAGTCTGATTCTAATTGATTTTTTTCATTTTGAAGTATTTTCTCGGGAACATGACGAGCGGAAATCGTAGGATTAAAAGTTGGTTCTTCAATCACCACTTCCCTTTGCGATATTAGTTCATTATCGGAGGAATCATTATAAAGAACGCGATCTCCCCAGTTACTATCATTATCATTGCTATCATAAGTCAAATCTTCGATGTGTGTGGTGCTTCCTTCAAGAACCCAACTATCGTTTTCATCCTCTTCCAAGTAGACTTCATTACCAGGTATGATCAGTGCGAACTTTAAGAAGGTATTATTGCCGAATTTTTCGTTATCGTATTCTTGTGCAGAGACGACTTCCAAGAGTTCGAGATCACTGGAAAGTGTAATGATATCACCATCTTTATCGGTATGGGAAAGAAAAATTGGCGTGTCAACAGAGATTTTAAAGAATGAATGAAGTCGAGACTTTAATGTGGACCATGTGGTTGTCGGTAAAGTTGTGAAACGGTAGGAGGTTTGATTGTAGAT